AGGCGCATGATGTGCCATTTGGGTCATACTTTGAGGTGATCAATTCTTCAACCATATTATCATCTTCTCATTTGGGTCATACTTTCAGACCATAGTTTTAATTGTGTGTCTTCTACTGCTTCAGCTCCATAGTAGGTGGCTGTTGGAGACCAATGCCGAGGATTCTTCTTCTATTGATTTTAAAGCAGGTAAGTTTTGCATTCTTTTTCTTTTACAAGAACGGAAACTTTTCAATAATTATAAAGGATTATGATGATTATGATGAAAAAGTAACCAATACGTAGCTATTAGGACAAAGTAACTAAGCATAGCTCAATTGATGGCACATAATTTGAGAGAATACTATTAGGACAAAATAACCTATTTGAGCATAACTCAACTAATCGAAGCATATATTCTTAGCTTAGAAGTCAGATGTTTGAATCCTCTCAACCCAAGTATTAAGGTTTCTTTTTTCGGATCTCGTAATTATAACAAAAGGGGTTTTTTTTTTTTATGGGACGCAGGTGTATATTTTAAGAAATGGTGTATGTTGCAGGCCACAATAAAAGCTGGCGCAATGCTTGAGGTTTGCATTTTTTCTGATTTCCTTATTCTTTTAGGCGTCGTTTCTTGTAAATAAATGGTAAAGTTGATAACTCTCATTTTACAGTTCAAGCAAGTTGTGGATCTGAAGTTAGACATCGCCCATGACTATATGAAGAACTCCAATGCTTCTGTAACCCAAACCCACCAAATTGCATCTCAGAGCTCTTGATGATTTAGGACATTGGTGGTGGTGGTTGTGCGTGCCATGTTTATGCAACTACATAATATTTCCTTTGTACTTGGGAACTAAGCCTCATCGATCAAGTCTCAAACTTGAGTTTATTGAATCAGCTATAGAAGTCATTCTTATTCATACAAGTAAAAAAAATAAACCCTAACAAACAAGAGTCCATAACCCATTAGGGTTAAATTACGTCACATGAAATATTAATCTTCTCAATTAACGAATTTATAACGAGGTTAAATATTTCGTAGTTCAGTATTATACAAACTCGTTATATAGAATACTCATACTTAGTTTTAACATAAATGATTTTGATCAAATTATTTGTAACATTTACAAACTAAAGTTGATAAAGCAAGAATTTTATCCATATACTAAAATTTAATTACTAAAATGTTATTTTTGAAACTTTAAATACTAAATTCTCTCTCTCCTTTTGCTAGACGAATAGATTTGTTTCTTTATTTTATTGATTTTGCTCGGCTCAGTATCATAAAAGGGAATGGCTCGGCTAGGTGGGATAGCCAAGCCAAAATAGAAAAAAGAGTAGATAGAAATGAAGAAAGGAAAAAGGAAGACTTTTAAAATATAGCCCGATCCGTCCAACCTGATATATATGGTGTAATCAAATTGATTTTAACTTCAAGCATTAGATCGTTGTCTCAGTTATGAGGAGTCAAGAAAATAACAGGTTCAAAATCACGATCAATTCCTTTTTCAAATCTTGCGACAGCTGCACGAATTCTTCCTACATGCCATAAATGACCTACGAATAGGAAGAATCCTAGAACAAAATGAGGAATCTCATACCTTAAAGACCAAAAATCATTTTGTCCAAAATAATATAAGGATCGATTAAATTATAAACTTTACTTTTATACCCTCGTTTAAACATATGTGTAAACCTTATTTGGTAATGAAAAAATAACATAACTTATAAAAATAATAAAATTAAAGGAATAAGCTTACCCTAATGGGAATTATTAATGTAATTAATTAATTAATAATTGTTATAAACTTTTGTAATCCATTCTAATATATTATGAACATGATTATCCGACAAAAATAATAAACATCGTTAACGTAATCTAGTTGCTAATATCTTGTCGGGGCAATAAAGGAAAAAAAAAAGGATAGAAAAAGGAAAAGTTTTTCATTAATTCAACCCTTTTATTAAAATAATAATTCCCTATTTTTAGATTTAATTTAGATTTTTATGTTTGTTTATTAAAATAATAATAATAATAATTAATTGAATATTTTTCAGTCACTTCAACTGTTCTTCCATGTGAAATTAATTGAATATTTTGGATTTCATATCTCTTTCAATTAAAATTAATTTATAAATTATGGGATTTTTGTCAAAAAATAATAATAATATTATTATATAAATAAAAAAGACAATGATTTATTTAATATTATTATTTCTTAAAATTATGTCTTTTTTACAAGAAACTAGAAAATATATATTTTTAAAAAAAATCATAAATTTACATATGGATGCTTTAACCAAATTTATTAATTATAGAAATTGTAAAGTGGAGTATATTTAGGGTTGTTGGAGAATAAATAATTATAAAATTAAATAAAAAATTATTATTTAAAAAATTTAACAATTTAATTAAATTAAAATTGTATAGATGGAGTTGGAGACGGAAAATATAATTATAAAATATTGTAAATAAGCAAAAGAAAATTGTAATTTTATAAAAAAAATACAATTAAAATAAAAAGATACGCAAAATCTAGAGTGATGCTATAAATAATTGTTTTACTTTTAATATTTACATTTAATTCTGACGTGGAATTGTGACTTTTAAAAAAAAATTATGGTTGCTTGATTAAGCAACCATGATGTAACTCATTAAAAATTAAGGAAAAGTCCAAATTAGTTTTGACGTTGACAATTGAATTTATTTTTATTATAATTTTCTAAATTTTATCCAACTTATTTTTATTTTATATTAATTAGAATTGTTAAAAAAAAATAAAAAATTAAATAAAGAACAAAAAAAAAAAAATTCATTGGAAAGGTGCTTACAATTCTTAGTTGCGTTAAGAGTTTAGTGATTCATTAGACAAATCCAGAGACCTATTAAATACAAAATAGAAAGTTCGAGTAGGAGTGTTGTTTGGGTTGGGTCGAGACATTTTAAGTCCCAACACGATTATTCGAATAGTAAATTTGTAACGACCATAGATTTCTACTAATCTAAAATTGTCATAGATGAAAGGGTTCTTCCGTCCGTTGGATCTTCTTTCTCTCAAATCTTTATTTTCAAATGGCAAAAGAGTTCGGTTGATGAGAGCTTTTAGGGAGCGTGGCTTCGTGGGTGCTTGAAGATGCGAGATCTCCAACGAGTCGTTGAAAATTTCATGTTTTTCTAAATTAATTTTTTTTAATTCTTATAAACTTCTTCAATCCAAATAATTATTATTAAATAATATTGATTTATTTTCATTCAGCCATTCAAATCTAATATATATTTTTATAAATTCACATTTTAAAATTAATAATAAATTCTGATTTTATATAAATCTTAAAATTTATGCATGAAATTATTTATATATATATATATATTAAAAAAATTAAGAAAAAAAATAAGAAAATGGAAAGATTTGAAAATCCATGTTTCATGCCTCAATTCCCGTTACCACCGTTTGTCGTTTAGCTTTGTCCATATTCCAACCAATCCCATTTTTTCATTACTTTTTCATTGTCATCATTATTCTTTTTTTTTTTTAATTAAATATTTTCGGTAATTTCAAATATTTAATTTAGTATTTATATTTTTTATTTTATAAATTTTATAATTTGTCTCGAGTACTTTAATTATTTAATTAATTTTTGATAAAATAAATTTAACTTTAAATCACTATATTCATTTAATTTTTTTTTAATTATTAAAAAATTCATATTTATCCACAAAATATTGCATCAAATAAAACTGAATGGGTAATTAAATTTAGAAATAAAAAATAATATTTTAATTCATATCATAATATATCACAAAATATGACATTTACCCGAGCCACTAAATACCTAATCAAGTCCTTATTTACTTATGTGGTTAGCCGGGATCGAACGCAATTTAGTTAGATTTATAAATTTGGTATTTTATGTCATAAAATTGTTAAATTAAAGTATTAAAGAAATAATATAAAAGAGGTAGATAAATTTATTAATTGTAGTTTGAGGGTAAACTAGAGAGAAAAAAGAGTAGGGGTATAAAGGTAAATAGCGAAGGGGTTATCCTAAAAAAAAAATGTACCAAACAAGGTACTTGTAGTAGTTGAGCGATGGAGACCAAAAGAAAACCGCGTTGGAAGTGGGTCCCATGTGGCTTTTGGACTTACGTGGGATCCAAGTGGGACCCATATGTACACGTGTATCAAAGTATTGTTTAAGAAAGTCGCGTAGGATTCACGGACCACAACACGACGGGACACGTTGGACCCACCCTTTCCTCTCTATTTTGACAACGATTTCCCGCCCTAATTTATTATCTTAATTATATACATTTGATCCTAAGTTTTAGAAAATAAATAAATAAATAAATAATTGACATAGGATTCTAGTTAACATGATAGATCAATTTCATGTGACTCAAGTGACCTATCAAAGAAGAAATTATGCATCCACGTGTGCGCTTAAATTAGTATCAAGCTGAGCATTTAAAATGTGTCAGCTAAAGACAGGTTTCCACACCCTTATAAGGAATGTTTCGTTCTTCTCTACAACAAATGTGAGATTTTACCAATACTGTATAACAAGCTAGTGAAGACCGCGACTGAAAATGTCGAGATTTTCGCCCTAACTGTTGGCTTGCTTGGAGTTTCATTACCGGTTCGAATAATCGATCCGAACCTCGGCTCGACTTCATGACCCTTGGGGACTTTTGGCTTAATGGGCTTGGGCCAATGAGCCCATAACAGTATGGTTTAAAAGGTTCTAGAAAATGCAAGGGTTTAATGACACAGCCAGTTAAAATAAAATAAAATAAAATAATAATTCAAAATATTTTATTAGGAAAAGAAAATAAAAGGAAGTGAATATTGGAGCTTGGAAAATATTTGGTCAAATTTACTTAATTTCTTTTGCCTATTTCTTCCACCTCCCCTTCTGGCTGGATATTAGCTGTCATTTTTAAAATTATATTAAATAAAACAATATTATTCAATTTTCAAATATCTCTATTTTGTTTCACAAATTTATTAATTTCCTTTTTTTCTTTATTTAAACATTTTCAAATATCATTCACTCCTCTCGTCTCCCCTTTCCCACTACAGTTTGGAACTCTCTTCTTCCCTCTCTGAAAACCTCATTCATGGTGGATTCCTTCTCCTCTGATTGCTCAATTTCAGTCAATTCTTTAACTATAACAGTCTTTTCAACCTTCGAATTCCGGCGATACAGAGATAAATTTGTTCCTTGAAGTGCAAAAATCGATTACCTATTCACTCTCTAGAGAGTAACGAGGAAATAAGCGCTTCTGTTCTTCGATTGTTCTACTGAATTTGATTTTAGTCTGTAGAGATTTCCTTTTTGATCGAAAATCTTGCGTGGTTGTTTCCTGTGGACGGGTTTTTGCTCCGAACTTCCGTCGGGATGATTGCGAGCTCTCTTTGCAATGCTTCTGCTAAATTTCCGGTGTGTGATTCGTTTGATTTCTCTTTCTCTTTGTTGTTGTTGTTGTTGTTGTTGTTCGTTCTTCTTTTCAGTTTTGCTTCTTCAATTACTTTGTCTTCTTGTTCCCGAGTTGTGAATACTTCCTAACTCTGGTTTTTGTCTTCTTTCTATGCGTGTCTATGCTAAACTGTGAATGATTGTAGTATTGATTTGTGGATTTTTGATAATTGTGCTATTCGTTTCATTATTTATCATAATCTAGTTATACTGTCTGGTTCATTTCATTTATTTATCTTAATCTGGTTATACTTTCTGGTTTCCTTCTATTGATTGTTATGTTCAAGATATTAAATTAATGGGGGTAGGAAGATTCTGTACGCAAATTACATATTCTCTTAATTTAATCCATGCGCTGTGTGAATTTGTTTGTTTATTTATTTATTTTTTTTAAAAAAAAAAAAAGAGGAAAAAAATTGTTTATCTGGGCCCACTATTTCATTTATATCGTCTTCTTGGTTTAAAATACTTATTCTGGATTCCAATTACCCAACACTTTTACTTTTGTCAAAAAGTATATGGAAGAAAAAAATTACTGGTGTTCTCTCGTTTCTTATTCCAATGTCTCCTTAGCTGTAACTTTGTTTGTGTATTCATGTCTTGGGTTGTCTTTTGTGGTGGAAGATTCACTGTATTCCTTTTTTAACTGACAGAAAGTGCCAAATTCTGATTAAAAGATGCAACTTTTATCTGTATGTTGGCTAAAATGCTCAGTGTGAAAAGCCAAATCTAGATCATTTCAATTTGGAGATGAATGGCATGGAGATGTTTGTGTTTATTTATTTAGTGCATGTATATTGCCCTCCGACCTTATTCTTTTCGTATTATTATTGTTATTTGTGCTTACTGTTCGCAATATTATATTCGTTGGATTGAAGATCGTCATCAAACTATGGAACTTTTGTCTACTTGCATTCGTTTTGTCTTCTAGTATTCAGTATTATTATCGATAATGGTTGTTAATGTAGTAGATCAAATGGATCATATTATACTGTTTTTTTAGGGTGTTGGTTTTGACCTTTGACCATGACCATGATAGCGTTTTGTTAATAATTTAACAATCCAATGTGAAATACATTATCTGCATGCTGTCTGAAGCTCTGTTTCCAAGTAAATAATGTTTTGTCCAATCTATGGGAATGCATTTATTTCAAGGTTATGGAGGTCGGAGATTTATTTCTTGATCGTAGAATTCATTTGTTAACAAAAGTTAAACATTATATATTTATATGCAAATACACACGAACATAGGCATTTGAAAATTTCCCTGTCTTTCTCCCACTCAATATGTATGTGTGTGTGTGTGTATATATATATATATATATATATATAATATCTTAAACCTGTGGGAGTATACCTGCGTTGTTTCAGATTTTCTCAGTTGACTTTCATTGTTTGAGATCTTTATGGATCAAATTTCTTTTTGGTATCTTTGTAATATCTTTATTCCCTTTTATAAAATTGCTCTATTTTATATGAAAATAAAGTACTCATTCAGACTTGGATATTTGTTGCCTATGTTCTTTGCATCTTGACTGATTGAATTTGATCTCTGTCCAGGCAGAAGTGATGGAGGTAGAAACGATGATGGAACATAAGAGAAGTCTATGCTCTGTTGATGAGAGCAGTCTCACTTCTCTTACATCCAAGCGACACAAGACTGGTTTTTCTATCTCCTCTAAGGTCACATAGCAGAAAATTGAAGATTAAGATACTCTAATAATGATAAATAATCTATGCTTAGCAATATATGCATGTAGTAAGTTTGGGGCGGTCCATTAGACAACATTTGGTGGTCTTCTGATCACTTTGTGTTTGGGTGGTCCAGTTGTATTTCATTATTTTTTCAGTTGATTTGTTCCCATATCGTCCTGTTTTGTTCTTTACGATATGCTCTGCCCCTCCATCCCATAGGTTTTTCAATTACTAATATTCTCTTTCTACAGGAGAGGAAAGACAAACTGGGTGAACGAGTTTTGGCCTTGCAACAACTTGTTTCACCATACGGAAAGGTTTGTTGTGAACAGATCAAATATTCAAATATTTTAAAATTTTCAGGATAATAATGAGGATTTATATGACCTGAGCCAAATATTATTTTGGCTCTTGAAATCCACAAGCCTATGTTTTGTGATTTTACTATGATTATTAAAATCATTGGCTTGTTTGAATTCAAAGTGAACAATTTCACTGCAGACAGATACGGCATCTGTTCTTCTGGAGGCAATGGAATATATCCAGTTCCTTCATAAGCAAGTCAAGGTATGGTTTTCTTGCTTGAAGTTTGTTCTTTTTGAATTCTGATTTGGGTACCAGATATGAATGGCTATCATGTCATGCATATAGCTTTTCTATGACCTGTATGATACTATTTCCCTCCTTAAATTCCTTAAAATTGGTCCAGTGAATATATTTCTTTCTCAGTTCCATATTTTTCCTCCGACACTAATTAGTACTTGCATGCAAAACCTTTTGAGCATCAATCAGTGGTTAAAAATTCATTGGATATTTTCGGTGTATTTGATATCAGTACGGTTTATGTCTCTCTCCTCTCTCTCTCTCTCTCTCTCTCTCTGTCCCTCTCTGTCCCTCTCTGTCCCTCTCTCTCTCTCTCTCCCTCTACTGGACTTTGTTTGCTGAAGTATTCTTATATGCCTAATTTAGTTTTAGGTATTTATTCATTGTGTCCCTTTCTTCCATCATTTTCTTCTCCTTCATCAGCAATGAAACATAAGCTGCAAGATTGAATCAATTATTTATTTACCATCATGTTTTCCTGTTTTCAAACGTTGAGGTATTTATTGTACATTACATGAAACTGGTGTAGTATTGGATAGTGGAGGACTAGAACAGAGAAATTTATCGACATCCACCAGTATTGATCTATGACATAGACTGAAACTTTGTCTGCCACTTCCAATGAACTTTACTATGTATCTGTACCGGCTAAAACTCTCAAGTGTCATTATATACTCCCTTACATTATTTTGGCGTGCTTTCAGGTGTTGAGTGCTCCATATCTTCAAAGCACACCCACTGTTCAGTTGCAGGTGAGCCTAGGCTGGACCTTTTGTTTCATGATTTGACTAAAGTCTGTTTCTTCAACACTTCTCTTGAAAGAAAAAGAAAAAGTAACGTTTGTTCCCTCAGGGAAATTTAATGAAGTGTTCCTTAATGTTCAAATTACTGAGGAGGTTCACTGCTTTTAAATATTGGATTCAAGTCCGAGTGATGCTCCAACATTCAGAAGTAAATCTTTTTGGACACTGTAATAGCAAGGTTTATATTCGTTGTTGTTAGGAGCAGGAGCCATGCAGCCACAGCCTGAGGAGCAGAGGTTTATGTCTCGTTCCAATCTCGTGTATTGCCGGAGTTGCAAGCAGCAACGGTGCAGATATTTGGGCTCCTGTGAAGACAATTTCCCCCAAATTCGAGAACGCCATCTCGCCATTCGATTGAGCATAAATCAACGCTCAGCATCCAAATGGTTCGGAAGTCGCTACATACGGTTGGTAACAGGGGTAACTACTTATCTTTATATCTAATTTATAACAATTTTCCCTCTGGAAGTAGATGATTTTATATATCAAATACTTTAGCATGGTGCTTGGAAAAAGAATAGTCGAGTCTTCTGAATCACCACACCATTCTTGCTAACTGGTGAGGGGTATAGTTTATCGCTGTAGTATTAGTGTATTTGGTGTCTTAAATGGTGGAAATGTGTATAATATTGTAAACGAAGTATATGATGATCCCAATTCAGAAATTCATGGTAGAGTAGCATTTGTTACCTGCCTAGCAAGTTATGTTTATGTTGATGCTATACTAGTTCTATTCCCTCCAATCTTCGGCGTATGGGTATTTTGTAGCTTGGTTTTGAGCGTTTTTCGTTGACTTTGAGTGATTTATTCTAAGAGTCGATGTATTTTGAAAAGTTTCTTTTTTACCTTTCAACCCTAAAATTTATTCTAAAAAACACATTTCGTCGCATTAATAATATTTAGACATTTAGACGATTAAAATTGTTGTTATTATTTAGCTCACTCCAAAACATATGTTGTCATAATTATTTAAATCAATTTGTTAGTGATAATGCCTCAGTTCATCTCCACAAAAATATGATATTCTCAAGTATCCATAATCTTTTTCTTATTTAATCAATGTGAAACTCCAATAATTCTCCCATCGAACAATCATTTACCAATGTATGTCTAGCGCTATCCAAGCCAATTATCACATAACTCCACTATGAATTCACATTCGAGGATCATAAGTTCTTTGTTTATCCTCCAAAGATTTGTACTACGACTAGAATAAAAACATAGCTATGATACCACTTGTTAGAAATAACAATCATCCACATTCATATCTTCACAATGATATGATATTGTCTACTTTAAGCATAAAAGTAAGCCATTAATAAAATTTTATATTTTATATTATCTCCACAATGATACGATATTGTCTACTTTAAACACAAACAAAGAAGTAACCCATTAATAAAATAAAATTTTTTCACGCCATTAAGACGTAACCAATGTTGTGTGGAGTATTTAGGATTTAATTTGTTTTTGTTTTTTGTTTTTTCGGGTTCGGGTGGCGATCATTTCATACATAATACGATAACCTAATAAAAGAGATTTCTTTCCTCGTTCGCCGGTATCGGTAGAAACATCCACTCTGTGAAGTCGTCGGAGCTAATTTCATCATCACCCTCACCCTTCATCCAATCATTCTTCTTCTTACTTGTGAATTTCGTTGATCTTCAACAATTTCTTCTCAGATTCTCATGGCCACCTCTCAACAGCCACCAGCTTTGCAGATTTTGGGTAACTTTTCTTTTTCGGTTTTATACTTTCTTTTAGGTCATTTTTTCCTCTTGCAATTCTCTCATCGTAATCTTCCTCCCAGTTCGAGGATCAGAAGGTTTTTCAATCTGGAATGGCCCCCCATTCATCGACAATCAGCCTACTCCCAACAAACTCGAAAAGGTTGCTTGCACCAGTACAAAATTTAGTGATGATGGATCCAAATTGTTGGTTACGAAGTCTGAAACTCTGAGCATTTACGAATGCCGTGATTTCAGAGAGATTAAGTCTTTTGAAGTACCCAATTTGCTTGCGGCTGCCTTGTCACCATGCGGGACTCATCTACAGACCTTTCAAAAATCTTCAACGCCTCAGGAAAAGAATGTTGTTCTCCGGAAGACTGCCACTGGTGATATTGTATACTCTCAATTTCAGAAGAATATGACCAAAGTGACATGGTGAGCGGTGTCTTGTCTCTATGATGATCCATTTTGGTTTATTGATTACATTATAGGCTTAGTCTTTATCATATTTACCTTATAATGTTCAAGATAATCATCTTAGAAATGACATTTATACAACGTTTAGATTCCTTAGTGGGTATTGGCTTTCGAATCCTTGTGTTTTTGTAAAGATATTTACAATTTCAGACACTCTTCTTCCTCTAGGCCTGCAATTCGATTCAGCTCTGATGAAACTGTTGCCTGTCGGATGGCTACTAATGAGATACAGTTTTTTGATGCTAAAGATTTCTCCAAAGGAGTTATCCATCGCTTAAGAGTTCCGGGAGTCACTGCAATTGAACTCTCTAGGACACCTGGAACCCACATTGCAGCCTTTGTTCCTGAGTCCAAGGTTGGGGTTTCTAATGATGTTTTGCCCATGGAGATTCACAAACTCCACCATTGTAGTGGTTTATTGTTTTGTGTTTATGCAGGGAGTTCCTGCCAGTGTCCAAATCTTTGGTTGTGGAGATTCACAAACCCAACTGATTGCTCGGCGAAGTTTCTTCCGTTGTTCAACGGTTCAACTACACTGGAACAATGGTTCTACTGGGGTTCTAATTGTTGTGCAAGCAGATGTCGATAAAACCAACCAGAGTTATTATGGTGAATCGAAGTTAAACTACTTGACGACTGATGGGGCTCACGAAGGACTTGTACCACTTCGTAAGTACTAAGTTCCTTTTCTTCAAATATTAGTTGCATTGCATTCTAACAGTCTAAACCTACTATTATTGACATTGAAATTTCCAAAGAGAAAGAACTGATTATTAAGGATATTGGCAGGTAAAGACGGGCCAGTTCATGATGTGCAGTGGACACAGAGTGGTTCAGAGTTTGCAGTAGTATATGGATGTATCCTTCTTATCGTACCTTACTGCAGAAGGGGATATTGATCTTATCTTTCATAATTAGATTGCAGTCTGAAATTGAACACTCCGTTATAATAAAGGATAAGCGTATGGTATCACGATGATGATACACATCATAGTCTAGGAGATCATCTGCCACTAGTTCCTGTTTACTATGGCCAAACTACTTCAACTGTTGAATTCTGAACTCAGTTTCAGTTGGCTTATTTCTATCTCCATGTGCTTTGCCTTGTGGAATGGTTAAATATAATGAGGTAAACTGGCCCAACGAGTGCTAGATTAGTGAACTTGTTGGATCGCGCATCTTCTGTTATTTAAATATTTTACATGAAGATGTAATGTGTCCAATGTCTTCTCTGCCTGGTCGTTTCTTCAACACTGTTCATCTATGTACCACTCGTTTTAAATCCAACAACGGATCCCTAAAGGTCTTCAACATTTCCCCAAGAACAAATGAATATATACAAAGAAAAGTTAATGTTGGCAGAATCTCTTGTTGTACCTTGAGATAATTCAATAATAAATGGCATCTAAAGGCATCTATTCTTTCCCTTGAGGCTGGAGGTCTAAAATCTCCAACTCAATTTATTGTACTCAAACAAAAACATGAATGGCATCTAAATGCCCTTGTCTTGCATTTTCCTTCTGCTAGCTATGATTTCTCTTTACCCTGCACTTGTTGTTCCTTGACAAAAAATAGTTATGCCTGCAAGAGCAACTGTGTTTGACAAGAAGTGCAAGCCTCTTCTTGAGCTTGGAGAAGGTCCTTACAATACTGTAAGATGGAATCCGAAGGGGAAACGTATCCTATTTTGAATGCTCTCTACTTTTGTCTTTGGGATATCTATATATGCTTTCTAAAATTTGTTTTGGCTGTTTCCCCTGTTTCTTGTTTTTCCTCTCTTCCCTTTTTATTTCATTCTTTCAAGGGAGGAACTACTACGAATTTCATTAATATTCTTTTGATCATACGATCTCATGTCTGGCATAAATTTAATTTAAAGGATTTGTAACCTTAATTCTCTGGCCTGCAGTTCTATGTATAGCAGGATTCGGTAATCTGCCAGGTGACATGGTATGTTATTTTGATGCTTTGCGTTCTCTATCTCATCTATTTATTATGTGTTGAATGAAATGAACGAGTATCTTTGTTGTTTGTGGCATGTTTCTCTTCACTTCTTTCAAGATTATTTTTTTAAACTACATTGCTGTTGCATTAAAATCTCCTGTGTTCTAGCTTGTCTTTCAATAGAATTACAAGTTTCAGCAAAGGTAAACATTTTTCAGCTTATCAAACCATGCTTTGTGAATGGAACACTTCTTTCAAGACTATTCAAAGCCAATTGATATTAGAGTATATACGTGTAGCACCAACTTACATGTATTGTGTATTGCTTTCCATTTTAATGAATACTCTTTTCCCAAACGATTGAAGCGAATCAAGTTTTTCTTTTTTAATTACTTTAGGTCTGAAATTGTTGAGTGGATTTGAGTATTCATATTACATGAAAGTGAATAAGTTTCTCTTTGATTATGTGAATCAGTCTTGCGCTCATATTATTTTGTTCTTCTCTTTCCTTTTCTTGTCCTCCCATGATTGGAGGAAATGATATTCATATATATACATTCATATTTACAAATCTTCTGTTTGCTATAATCTTTAACAGGCATTTTGGGACGTCAAGGAGAAAAAACAGCTTGGAACAACAAAAGCTGAATGCTCTGTTACCAGCGAATGGTCTCCGGATGGACGCTATTTCATGACTGCCACAACTGCTCCAAGACTTCAAGTTGACAACGGGTACACAAATTTTATTCATTGGCGTGCTGATATGCACAAAGATTTTTAGTGCTTATAAATGAAATAATTCAAAAAGAGAAACTTTAAAAGATGCTGAAGGCAACTTGTGTAACCATTGAAGAGTATATATCACTGTGTGATCTTATTTCGAGGGCGGTTCATTTTTGCTGACATTTAAGCATTCAAATTTTGACCCGTTCAATATTCTTGGTCTCCTAGTCTATGCAGACGGGAGACTCTGCTTAGCCATAAATAAGTTGATATCATCGTTGTCCTTCTATAGGATAAAAATTTTCCACTGCAATGGAAATATATACTTCAAGAAAATGTTTGATAAGTTATTCCAGGTAAGAGCTGTTCATCTTTCATTTATAAAGACATTTAACATGAATACTCCTTGCTGTTTTCCTCATGCATACGCTTTGTGCAGGCCGACTGGAAGCCAGAGTTGCCAGATAAGTTCGGTGAAATTGATGAACTAGTCAAGTCAGTAGAATCACTAAATATAGATCAAAAGAAAACACAAGGTTCCATCTCGAAACTGTTGTCTTATGTCTACCTGCTTATATATTTATCCAGTCCAATTGAGCAGTTAGATTCTTCCAAATCCAGGGCAAGGGTCAAAACTCTCACAAGCATCACACAAAACCGCCCCTTCGAACCCTCCTGTTCAGAAGCCTGCTGCATATAGGCCTCCACATGCGAAAAATGCTGCTGCTATTCAGGCAGAGGTACTGATTTTTAAGTTCCTCTTGCTTTTCATCCAAGTGAAAGGCAATTATGATTAGATTTAAACATTTCCAAATCAAGCTCTTATATGCTTAACTTTCTGTAATACAGTTGCTTGGAGAAGGCCCTAAAGAGTAAGTCCATTCATTATGTATATTTCATTTATCATATTCTTTAACATGCCAAATTCTGGGATTAAATAAATTTGTGAGTTAATGTAGATTGAGCAAGAACGCACTGCGGAATAAGAAGAAAAGGGAGAAACAAAAGGAGAAGAAGGCGGGTGAAGGTGCCTCAACAGTCAATGATGTGTGAGAAAATGCAGGATACAACGAAGAATTCATTTGCTGTATGCTTCTTCTAGCATTTGCTCCTGGAGAATGAGTTGAGGTTTAGCTTTCTCAGAAATGCCATTCAACATCTGATTCAAATGAAATATTAACTGCCAAGGGAGACATTTGGTACGTTCAATCCAAAAATTTTGAGAAAAAAAATTTAAATGTTATACTAGTCTTAGAGTCTGTTGAGTGCTTAGTTTTCTTCATGCCTGTATGGCTTTAACGTTATAAAGGCGAACCGTCCTTAGCTGCAGTTATCCGGTTGGAATATACTATCTAATGAATTGAATGAAGGAATAAGCCGTTTGGATTTCTCTCTGATTTTATATATATGTGTTCTAGAGGTGCATTTTGGAAATGCTTTGTGCCAATCTAGGTTAATAGCATGGTTTATTAACGGAAATCATGTTTGGCTCTATATTCTTAGACGCAATTATGTAGAAGCTTAAATGCGAGGTAGTCCCAACCCGTCCATGGGAACAATTTATTCTCGGGACATCATCGCTTTGATGAATCATGACAAGTTAACAAATCAAATCAGAATCCTGTTCTGTTTCATGTAATTCTTCAAGAGAAGCTCATGGGACATTAACAACCTCGAAAAAGTTACATGGGACTCACTAGAAACTACAAATTCAAGCAAGATAGAGCTTGGCTTAAACATCTAACAATGGATGGAAAAAACAACCTCCAAACGACAATCAAGCTCTTTAGGAATTATGTATGCAGGGCTCAAAATCTTACATCAGTGTTCCAAGTACCTTGCGCACTAGGATTTTTGGTTACATGTCTTGTCCTCAGTTTTAAGACCTTTCGTCCCAATGCATTCCTTAGTCTCGTTGCATGTAAATGTATGTCTTCCGGATCCATGTTCTTCACACATATCACCCGATGATTATTGCTTTCTGTGAAAGTTAAGGAATATGGGAAAAACCCAATGTTAAAATACTTTTAAAAGTTATAACTACCAAACAGTGGAGAGAGATAGAGAACTACTATAGAAGCCCTTTAAGTGTGGATGCTGCCCACGAATGAGTTCAGTAACTATTTGTAGCTGAGGATTTTTCTCTCTAAAAGCTGGCAATTCTGAGTCCATAAATGCCCTGCAAATTCAATGATAACATCCAAATCATTCAAGAAAATATGTTTCGCTGTAAAAGCTACATATTGGTAATAATAACAACCAACATAACTATATATCATGAAATTTCGAAGAAAAGTAAAGTTGCAGCGTAATGTTACAATATTTTTTTGATCTATATGATAGTAGCTGAGGATATGAAGCACTGATGAGTCGACGACCATGGCTCCAACACCACAGTGATTATGACTGGGGTAAAGAAGGGTATCAACCAGGAAAACACAGGATGATAATTGGAAAAAGTTTGGTTTTATTTCATACAAAAAGGATGAAGAACTTTTTTTTATAAAAAAAAAGCTAAACTGATAATACAAAATGTTGTATTAACAGACGCTCATGGAGGAATTAAACCAGACCACTCCACCCGACGACAAATTCTACTATTCCTCTCAAGCTAGATGCCCCAAAAAATAGCAAAAAACTAAACTATCATAGGATCCTTCCTATGTAAGGAAAGTGAAGGTTCAAAAGCACCTCCTCAAACACAAAAAACGCCCTCTATTTTAGGGCAACACAATCCCAAACATCCTAAGAAATCGGTTCCACAGGGAACTAACCAAATGACACACCAATGGCTCCTACAAAGAACACACCAATGAAACCGCAATACCAAGAAAGCCTTTGGAGGTAGTCCTGAGTTTCACTCTCCCATCCAAAACTTGACAGTATAGAATTTCACTTTCTTAGGAATTTTATTGTAACAACCTAAGCCCCACCGCTAGCAGATATTGTCCTCTTTGAACTTTCTCTTTCTGGCTTCCCTCAAAGTTTTTAAAACGTGTCTGTTAGGGAGAGGTTTCCACACCCTTATAAATAATGTTTCGTTCTCCTCCCCAACCGATGTGGGATCTCACATTTACCTTCCAAAGAGAGAAAAAAAAAAACGTGGTGGCTCCTTGAAAGGGAGAAGAGTTGCAAAGAATCTGGGGAAAAAAAAGAACTACCTACTGGCAAAGCCTTCAGAACCTAAAACAGGGAATCCCCTCTCCTAGGATGTGTCTTAGGAAAAAAAGTAATAGAAAGGAGACTAACAACATCACAAACCTCTTGATCAATAATAAAGAGGAGATGTAAACACAAGGAAAGAGAGGAAGAGATATCAAAAAGAAGGCCAAAAAAAAAAAAACTATTTCATGCATCCACTTATCCGACAAAAGATAAAAATGAAGAAACAAGGCACACAGGGTCTCTCCACCTAGAAATCCTTCCAAAATATGTGTTCTATCCATCCCCAATAGAACATTAACGAACTTAGAGAACAAAAGAAAGCATGAAGCAATAACAGACTAGGGATTCTAACAATAACCCTCAAACCTAATAGCTGAGACCCATTCAAAAGGGTGAAGTCCATACTTGTTCACAATAATCCTTTGCCACCCATCCTCCTCCTAACCCCTACCCACAAGAAATTCGTCATTAACGTTTCAACGTCGAGACAGGCATCCTAAAAAGATTGGAATTACACTCAACACATTGAATCAAGGTTAACCATCCTCGACAACAACTGTTTTTGAACTTTCTCCACCACCAGGATCCAAAAACACACAGATCTCGGATTATCTCCCAAAGAAAGATCGAAGTAAGATCCAAGAAGCTGACTCCCTTCACACCCCACCAAACAGACCCAATAAGTAATTTTAGAAGACTCAGTTCACTCCATTGTTAATTTTTGGGCCTGAATTAGCTTCAAAGAAGAACATAAAACCATTGAGTTTCCTATTGGAATTCTCCTTCTCTAAGAGAAAAAAAATAGAGTGTCATCGTCTACAATTTGAAGGTGCGACAAATGCACTCTACCAGAACCTATATAGTGATGATTCATGCGTTAGCAGACAAGGTTGCTAGTTAATATAGGTATGCATTTGAAATAATTATGCTGGAAAATGAAGATACAAACTACTTCTAGATGAAAACTTAGGCCTCCATCAGTTAAATGTGAATTCTCAGTAATGAAATAAGAAATCCAACAAACCTGATACCCCTGCTGCTTCCTCCCCAGTCACAATAGCTGACAATCAGCTTCTTAAGCTGCCATACACCTCGCAAAGCCATCTACATTCTGCAAAAAGGAAAGCCATCTATATTATGCCTAGATAGTTCATACGCATTGATAGTTTCTTCTATATTCAAGAAGACTCAACACCATTAATTCAATTTTTTTTTTCTTTTTTAAAATTGAAAGCAATAATTTCAATCTTTTCAAATACGAACAATAAATGATTCGATCTTGATTTTCCTTCTCCGTAGGTGAATAGAATAAACCAACATAATCCAACGAAACAAATAACAATAAAACCTTGGGAATCTGGAAAACGAGCGGCGACGGCGCGATCGCACCAACGGCGAACCACTGGGTTTCTGTGGAATAGAGATTAGTAACTCTGATTTCGTCGGAAGGCTGAGACTGTGGCAGCTGAGAGTGCGGCAGCGGCGGTGGCTGGTAATGGAGTGGAGGGGGTGGCTGAACGTGAAAGAAAGAGGGTTTAGAAGAAGAAAGCTAAGAATTAAAAAAATAATAATAACGAAATTATAATGATTTTTATTTATTTATTATTATTATTATTATTTTTTTGCTAAATTACAGAAAATATATTTGTATTTTAAAAATTATTTTTAATGACAAAATTACTCTTAATTTTCACACACATTTAAAAACTACTTAGCAATAGAAAAATTTCACAAAATTGAATAAAACCGGAGACTTAGGATAATAGCGATGTGGAACGAGTATTAAAACAAATTAAGAGTTAGGATCACGATCATATCATTTAAAGACACCGTCGCACCAGTTCAAATTCTTAATTTCGTTCAAGATTCTAACGAGTTTCTATTTATAAGTAGTTTTGAAATGTTATGAAAAGTCAAGAGTAATAATACATACATACATCAGCGACCAAACTATTCTCAGGAAATCTTTAACATATGTGATGATCGGGAAGGCGTTCGAGTATCGAGACGAGAAGAAATATGTTGGAGGAGGCAACTGAATTGAGGGCTGCTATAGAAAGATATCCGCCATGCCCATGTCCATTTTTGACCATATCTTTTAAACCTACTAAATATATATTTTTGTTTAAAGTATATTATGTTATAATAATAATAAAGTAGAACGTTAGACATATTTATTCTTATAATCTATCGGTAAAGATAAACATTTTTAATTAACAACAATAAAATTAAAGAGGCCGAATTAGCTTTGGAAATCAAAGTGTTATACATTATTTGTTTACACGTTTGTGTGATGAACAACATAAGAATATGAATGCCCAAAAGTTGGCTAAGAACTAAGAAAAGAAGAAGAAATGAAATAATAATAAATAAAGAACTTAGGAAAGAAAATGAAATATCTATCTTCTTTCACCGATCAAGTGTTAGTGTCCCGGGCCACTAGGACTTGGTCCGGAAGATAACTTGCCAAGCCAACCTGAGACAGTTTCCTTTGCTTTTTGATAAACTATTGAATATGGATCGACATAATCAACACCATGATTTGAAGTTTCAAAGAGCACTCGTGCTGCATCTATCATACTAATCTGGCTCAAAATGATACCGAACACAACACAAACGATGAAAACGGAACGGATCTTTTGGAACTTCATGATGCTAAAAAAAAAAAAAGGCAAAGATAGAGAGTTGTTTGGGATTGGCTTGTGTGATTTGGAAATGGGTTAAGATTTGGAAGGGTTTTTATAGTGAATGAAAGGGGGGTTTTTGGAGAGACTGATTTTGACCAAAGAATTAAAAGGTTGAATTTTTAGGGTATTTCTGGGAAATGGGATACACACACTGGTTTTGATTTAATTTAATGTATAACTTTGAACGACTAATTCTTCAAATGTGCGTGCAAAACAATTTTGACTCATGATCGTACCAAATTAGACCCAAAATCATTGAAGTACATCATCTTCCTCAATTGTGTTCGATGGTCACCTTTCAATAACTCTCTTATTTATGTGCGAGGAACTTCTTACGTTGAATAATAGGAAGCGGACAAGTTTTTGAAAATGCCAACTGATTTGTCTCTTTCATCCGTTGTATTACCCTTTCGGCATGGAGGTACCTCGCTCCACTTTTAAATGTTGCTTAACTCAAACAAAGTACACTGGAAAATGAAATTCTTAACTCAGTTCATCACAACCGTATTAACTATTCACTATGAAATATCGATAAAATATTGTAGGACCCTAAAAAGTTGGGATAATTTTCAAACAAACCCCTTATAGAGAGAGGAAACACAGCCAAAAAAGCAAATGTAACAGCCCAAGCTCACCATTAGTAGATATTATCTTCTTTTCTGAACTTCCCTTCAAGGTTTTAAAACGCATCGGCTAGAAAAAGGTTTTCACACCCTTATAAAGAATGTTTCGTTTCCCTTTCCAACCGATATGAGATCTCACAATCCACCCCCTCGGGACCCACCTACTCTAAAATGTGAAAACTGTAGGCATTCGTAATTAAGTTTACAGAAACACAGTCCAGCTTTCCAAATGAAGAACACCTTATTTCCTCACTTTGGAGAAGATGCCTTAATCAATTTGAAGCATATTCTTATTAAAACATACAAATCTGTCTCCATCATCATATCCATGAATGATATCCATGAAGTCCTACCCACATATATATCACAATCTCCCATTTACTCAGTTTTCCTGCTCAACCAAGAAGGCTTTCTGTATTTGAATCCCTTCCCCAAGCCCTCTCCTTCCAAATCCTCTCCACCTCCTCGAACGTGAGTCCCTGCGTCTCGGGAACGTACATGATAACGAACAGAACAGCGAGCACGGCTATGCCTGCAAGGATGAGGAAAGTCGGACCAGTTCCAGCTACTTCAGCGAGTGAAAGAAACGTTTGAGCTACAATCAAATTCGAAACCCAATTGACTGTTGCTGACATGCCGCTACAAATCCCTCGATAAGCCTCGGGATATATCTCCGAGTTCACGGTCCATGGCACCGGTCCCATCCCAGGGGCAAAGAAAGCAATGTAGAGAGCTAATCCAATTACTGCAATCCATCCATCTAGACCATTGGTTGAACCAGATTGACCAACAAAGAATGCCCCAGAGAGAATGGCAAGTGATACTATAACACCAGATAAGCTTGAAATGGCAAGCTTCTTCCTCCCGACGTGGTCGATAAGGTAGATTCCAAGAACCGTTCCAGCAGCGTTCATGGCAGCAATAATGAGGGATAGAAGGAGTGCTAACTTGTTGGAACGAAAGCCAGCCATCTGGACGATAGTTGGGCTATAGTACATGACTGTGTTGATACCAGTGAACTGCTGAAATGCCTGCATTTGCAATTACATTTACTGAAACAATCCTTACACGGATAAATTCAGAATCTCATTCCAACCAAGTTCTTAATACAAACAATGTCCAGATATGTTTCTAGCGGTTGGAAACGACTCCAAATTTAAAAGCATGAAGAACACTTGGTGCTATTTCAAAAGTGTTGGTAGGTTCGTTCGAGATATTATTCTCACGAGCATTTCAAACATACTTTAAGCCTTTGCAATGCATTCAAAACTACAAATTTGAATCCTACTGTTAGTCAGGAATTGTACCTGAAGTCCAGCCCCAGCTAAAAACGCAAGTCTGATCTCTTTTGCTTTGAATACATCCAAGTAGCTTACGTTTTTTACTTTACGCCGTTCTTCCTCGAGTTGAGAAGAAAGATAATCAATCTCATCTTCTAAACGAGGAAAATCATAGATTTTAGAGAGCACAGAAATGGCTTTGGATTTGTCACCCTGCAGTTCATGAAATACGATGTTATCTAAATATGTGAAAGAAACGAACCAACACAAATTAACGACAATAACTATATGCACCTTCATAAAGAGCCATCTCGGAGACTCTGGCAGACAAAGCATACAAGCAAACTGAATCACAGCTGGAACACTGGAAACTCCTAGCATCCAACGCCATGTTCCGGGGACCTGACCAAGTGTGTCACCGCTTCAGAGTGTCAATGTGACATTTCAAATTCCAAAATACAGAGTTCTGGACTAATTGTACCAGAAACTGAGTTTTCCATATCCAGAACAAGGGATTATAAGGCATTAATATTTACTCTAGATTATAGTAGGCAATAATTCTCTGAAATTCATAGTTGCGAGTAAGTAAACAAGATAATGTTCTTTAGAGGTATCTTACTGATATAAGAATCGGAACCAATGGTTCCTTAGGACCCTTATTCATCATTAGTTTAGTATCATCAACCAAATAATAAACTTTGTTTCCTCGAATTTATACCCTGCAGGCAAGTTTATGAGAAAGTTTATGTATTTCACAAAAACGAGAAATCTGGCGGAATTGAATCAGTTTATGGTTAAAAGATCGAATTATAACTTTTAAAGAACATCAAAGCAAGCAATTCTCTTGAATGGAAACCAAAACTTCTTCAATTTAAAAGAAAAAAAATGAAGAACACCTCAACTAAAACACTTTTTTTTGCAAGAAAAGAACCTATGAAGGCAGGGTGATGTAAAATTACAACTCAGAGACAGAAGGAAGCAGCTTAAGTTAGGCATGAAAGAATGGAACAGGTCCCTTTCACATGTTACTCAGTCGAAATCTTAAATTAGCATCTCGAAATTCTATCTTGATGCCGCCTCTTCAAACTGCAAGATGAAAACCTTTCATTCCAGTAAATTATAGAGTAATGAGCATCAATAGCACAATGCTTCGGCAATGCACTACAAACTAAATTACCGTATAACAGTATCTCTCAACAACAGCCTACGCATCAGATAGTGATAATGGACACAGTTAAGTCAAATATAGTTTTACGTACAAGTATTCTCTTAACTGTTCTAGTTTTTAGAAATATTTTGGTGCACTCGGAGTGCTTCGAATCAAACTTTATTTGTTTTTTCTTAATGAACCAATGAAACTTTGCTATGGCAATGAAGAACAATAAGTGTAGCAAAGATCCCCTGCTTCATAGCCATACCAAGTATGTTGACATTACCATCTTTTTTTTTTTTTTTTTTTTTTAGGAAACAACATTTCGTTGATACGATGAAATTCCAATGAGCTATGAGGGAGGAGAAACTATAATTATACAAGGGCCCTGAGCCTGAACTCATCCAATGAACTATGACGAGTTCAGAAACAATTAGATTAGTTGCATTAAACTCATCTTGTTTTCCAACAATTTTTCCTGGAAATTTCAACAATTGGTAAGATTCATAGAGAACAGTGAGCAGAAAACAGGTCAAAGATTGCTTCATTGTTACACACGACCAAACAACTGAGAAGGCAGAAAAATACACTAGAGATATTTCATCCAGAGTTAGTTTCATGATCAATCTTAGAAATGTTCTGCTAGATACACCCACAAGCCATGCCTTTTACCAAGTATATAAATTTATCTATCTTAAAGAGAACAAAGCGAAGTCATGTCATACGAACACAAAAGAGGTGGCAATGAGATAAGCCTAACCTGGGTAAAAGCAAGGTTTATGAGGTAGGAGAGAAACTGTCCACCAGTTATCATTAGCACATTAGTGCTGACTAGTCCACCTCTTATTTCTGATGGGGATGATTCTGCAATGTATACTGGAGCTGTGACAGATGCCACGCCCACGCCAATTCCGACTAGGAATCGTCCTGCTATAAGAATATATGGATCTGGAGCTGCAGCCATTACAACAGCACCAAGTACAAATACAACATCAGCAAGAAGGGTTGCCTTCTTCCGTCCATAAACATCATTAATCCAACCCCCAGCAGCAGCTCCAGCAATTGCACCAAGCAAAGCCATACTCACAATTGTTTCCTGCCATTTTTCTTAACTCATGATTCCACTATAAAAAGAAGCATGTATGTGGAGGAGGAACTAGAAAAACATGACAGAATATTTGGCTCTCAGTTTTAATAAGGAACTCTGAGTTTGTGTAATCTGCATAAGGATTGTTTTGTACTTAGGTTTGTATAGCTAATGTTCGGTTCGTATTATAATTTAAAAAAGATAGAATAAGAGTTAATCTTTTGTAACTACAGTTTATCTTCTCTGATATCCTACTGGGATAGCTTTTTTGTAATCCTGTCGATAGGATTCTCCTTCTCTTGTTATTTCATCCAGTCAATGAAATAGTTAGTTTCATATAAAATAAATTATAGAAGATGGATTTCACAAGTCTAGGTTAGTTTAACCTGTGAAATCAATAAACCTATAGCTTGAGGTGAAGAAACCCACATCCCAAATATAAGTTTGTCTTCTTAATCACAAGTTATCAAACTTAACCGGTGAACAAAACACCTGTAACAGCTCAAGCCCACTGCTAGCATATATTGTCATTTTTGGGCTTTCCCTTTCGGGTGTCTCCTCAAGGTTTTTAAAACGCATCTGTTAAGGAGAGTACTAGAGAGAGGTTTCCACGCCCTTATAAAGAATGCTTTGTTCTCCTCCCAACCAATGTGAGATCTCACAATCCACCTTCCTTCGAGGTCCAACGTACTTGCTGACACTCGTTACCTTCTCTAATCGATGTGGGACTCCCCAATTCACCCCATGTGGGGCCCAGCGTCCTTACTGGCACACCGCTTCGTGTCCACCCCCTTCGGGGCTCAACCTCCTTGCTGGCACATCGCCCGATGTCTGGCTCTGATGCCATTTGTAACAACCCAAGCCCACCGCTAGCAGATATTGTCCTCTTTGGGTTTTTTCTTTCAGGCTTCTCCTCAAGGTTTTTAAAACGCGTATGCTAGGGAGAGGTTTCCACACCCTTATAAAGAATGTTTTGTTTTCCACCCCAACCGATGTAGGATATCACAACACCGTTCAAGAGGAAGGGGTAGAGAGAGAGAGAGAAAATGGAAAAGTGAGGAAAAAATGGAAAAAGAGAAGGCAGAAAATTAATTTCCAGAATTAAGGATGTTTACCTGAAGGAAACTACTGTTTCTGACGGCCTCAAAATCATCTTTAATATAAAGAAGAGCTCCGGATATCACACCTGCAATCAGCAATCATTTCTAGCTCAGACTTTGAACTTTAGTCAGGCAGTTCATTGGGTCTTATGATCACAAATGTATTACAGTTTCTAATTGAAAGAAACAACAGCCAGGAAAGGGATGAGGTAAAATTTTGTTTGCATTGCAATAGATAGACCTTGGTTTGGGTGCAGTTTATCAGAAAAGAGCCATTGAGTTTCAGAGCTCGATTACAAATCAAAAGAGAGTTAGGAAGACTATCCTTATAAAAATTAAAAAGGGTGGTGCTCAAACACCAGAATCTAGTAGAGGATAAAGAACTTTAAATATGAAAGAACAGACCATTCATCCATCAAGACTCGAAATGAAGTAAACCAACATAAATGTGCACGACCTGCCTAGCACAAGATATTATCTAATCAAAACAAATTATTGATTCTTCTTGAAAAATCATTCTTCTGTATTCCATATGAATGAAGAAGGAACTGGATTACAGAAAAGTAAGAGCAGAAAATCTCGCTATTTGGAGATACAAGAACAAGATAACAAAAATTTCTACCATATTAGACAGAAGAAAAAACTGGAACACAAAGAATCGATAGATTTAAACAACAGAAACAGTTGATCGATTGAAGATTGTACATCACCTGTATCATAGCCAAAGAGCAACCCGCCAATCCCAGCAACCACCGTTAATCCAAGCACGTAAGGATTCTTAAAATAATACATTTTCCTCTCAGGGTAGATATCCAAGTACCCAGAGCTTCCAGGCAGCGATTCAAGCGTGAGCGTCATCGTTTACAAGGAACAAATCCAGCGCAAGTGACTTAAACTCAGAATCGGCGTCGTAAAACCCAGTAAAATCGAGTATTCAACGACCTACAGAAGCCAAAACTCGAACTCTTGAAGGGGAAATCGACTGCCCCTTAATACTAGAAATCAAGCTACAGCTTCTGATATAGAGAATTGAAGGAAGCTGCAAGAGAGAAACTGAAAAAAAATAGCCGAATCGAAATTACGGGAGCTGAACGAACACACAAGATTAAAAATGATAGGGGATTCAATCGAACAGCAAACCACAAAGAATCAAGATGATCAAATGCTACAGAAATGGGGATTTTGCAGCGGCGGATTTCCCCTTCGAAGCCTCGGATCATTGAAGGTAACAGAATCCCCAAAACAAACAGAAAATTTCCCAAAAAGAAAACACGAACAATTTTGTTTTCTTCCCTCTCTATCTCTCTCCAGCTTGAAGCGAAGCCGAACCAATGGAAATTTGGGAGCGTAAAATTCAGTTTACAGGACACTCGTCTCACCAGCCCTCACTACAAACAAAATTGACACGAAGCCGTTCATTTCTTCTCTATCTCCCAGACTTTTTGAAATCTTTTTACAAAGAATTAAGTATCAAATTTCGTTGTTTGAATAGCTAAATTTCATATTCTCTCGGACAGATTTAGCCATTGATCTCTTGATCAATGATTGTGCGATTAGGTTAGGGTTCGCAAATCGATCGCTACACTAGATTAGTTATATATTTAACATTATCCATATGAAAACAAGAAGAAAAAAGTTTATAAATCCAATAATTGTATGAAAGGATAGAACTGGGACGGGCTCTCTGTAATCATGGAGGAGATTGTGTCTGCAAATAAAGACGGCACAACAGCCAATTTGGATAAGAATCAAAGTCCCTTCTTCTCCCATCCTCATATGGATTGGAGATTTTGTTCTCATTTGGTGAGTATACATATTTATATCATAAATATTGAAGCCCGAAAACAATAGGTTAAAAGAATGTCGAGATATATATATATATGTGTGTATACTCGCTAAATTAATAAAAATATTCATAAAATTTATGCAGAGTAACATTAACATCTTATACAGTTATTAAGAAAAAACGTTCTAAATTTTTTTTTAGTGTCAATATATGAACAAAATCTATCTATTGTCACTTCATAAATTATCTTCAAACTTTTTAATGTTACTTTTGTGTTAGATGATGAAAGTTTCACATCTGCTAATTTAAGGAATAGTCATGAGTTTATAATAAAATAATACTTTATCCATTAGAGTGAACCTTTTTTGGGAGGCCCAAAGCAACCCACTAGAGTTTATGCTCAAAGTGGACAATATCATACTATTGTGGAGAGTCGTGTTCGTTCATGGTATCAGAGTCATTCCCTAAACTTAGTCATATCAATAGATGGGTAAATGTTCAGATGTCGAACAAATATTAATACTAAATGTATTTTTTATTTTTTTTTTAAAGTTTATGAATATTTTTAAGATAGAGTATAATTTTATTAATTTAGAATCTTAACTAAATACATCTATTAAAGTAATAATTAATAACAACAAAAAGCGTAATAATAAATATGAATTTAAATTACACGTTTATTATTATAAACCTTTCACTCCAAAAAAAAAATAATAATAAATACATGTCAAATTACAACCACACGTTTGGTTTGAGGATAAGCATCCAGAAAATGCCAAATTATGATGACGTGGCAGATGGAAAGAAATCAAATGTCACAATATTAATATATCCAATATTTTAACTCTTACCATTAAATAATTGATAACCTTTTATACCCTTCTTAAAATTTTTCTTATTTGAATGTGATCTCGGTTTATTCATATACCTCTCATTTACTCGAGTGTCATATTATACGTCGAAACTCGTAATTTATATTTGCATTATGCTATGATATTATAATTTGATAAATTTGAACTACAAATTTCCACAATGGTATGATATTATTTACTTTAAGTTCTCGTGATTTTACTTTTGGTTTCTTAAAATGTCTCATATTAATTGAGATAATATTACTTACTTATAAACCTTCGATTTTTTCTTTAGCTAACCGACATCAATAGACACGTACTAGTGTGAGCACGAGAGACGTTGTGTTTTAATACTTAATCAAAACTCCCTCAAACTACCCAATTACCTCCACAAATTGGCGTCATATCGTTTATAAAATTTTATTTGGTTCGAGTCAACTCGAAATTTTGTCCAATAAACTCAAAACTCAAATCAAATATTCGGTTTCAAAAAAAACTAACCCAACTCAACCCAACTCGAAATACTAAATCAACCTAACCCAACTTCTATAATTGGGGTTGAATCGATTCAGGTTGTCGGGTTCATGTACACCTCAACCGTCAACAACGACGGAGACAATTTAGAAAAAAAAAACAATAAAATTGACGTGTTGGATGACGAAAAGTTGAAAGGAATTGATGGTGAGAGAGGAAGGGAGGGAGCAATCTCCAAAAATCCTTTGCCCTAATATTTCTCTCCCCACAAAATCTCCCCTTTCCATTTCTTCTTTCCTCATTAAAACCCTTGACCGTGACATTCACAATTTTTACCTAACATTAATAATAAATTATATATATATATATATAGAGAATTTTAAAATTTCAAAGTTTTACGATAATTTTACGATAATGATAGATGAGAACAATAATGACGTAGCACAAGATCTAACAGAGATATATTAATAATAATAATAAAATATATACTTTTAAAAAAAATTAAAAAATTGATTAATTTTGTTGTTAATAGAAATTATGTGCATGGCAAATAAAGGGGAACCACGTAGCCTTGATGGGTTAGGTGTGTTGGGTCCATCCTTATCCTCGTCAATAGGCTTCACTGTAACTACGGAGAGAAAAAAAAGGATACACACAAGGTTTGAGGGGACAATGTCTGTCATGAACGACCCATCGACATTGATATCATTCGTAACAAATCATAACTTATATAAGAGAATGTAAACTTTTCCTTAGCTGACGCGTTTTTAAATTGTGAGGGTGACAGTGATACGTAACGAGCCGAAGCGGACAATATCTATTAGCGGTAAGGTAGAGCTGTTACAACGATTACTTATACAATACACAATTTTCAGCACTAGGGCTGGGGGGGGGGCATTTTTGGTATTTTGATATTAAACCAATTAAAATAAAATATCTTTTCACATTCAAAAGGTGACCTTTTTGTCCCCACAGCCCCACCACTACCACTCATGACCCATAACATGGCAGCAAGCAAATCATGCCTCCTCTTTGACCAGATCCCAACTATGATCTGATGATCAAATGATGACATCATCACAACTTTCAACGGTCCAGATTACAGATACACGAACTTCCCCGCTGCATGCGATTGTGACTCCGAGCTGTACAGATTTAGCATATTAATACGTAGCGGTGAGATATTTATATTTAAAAGGAGGTTGGGCCCCACCACCAAGTCATGTGCCAACTCAACAATACAACATTCTAGATATTTTCTTTTTATTTGTAAATGTGGGTCCCTTTCAGTTATTCGCATTTTGGCCCCAGGGTAATATTTATTTTTATTTTATTTAAGTTTAGAGAATATTAAAACATTATTTTAGTCGCTCGTACAATTTAAGTATTTAATTAATCCTGTTTAATATTTAATTATTAGTTTTAAATACTTTTAAAATAAACCTTTACATAGTCGCCACGTATTAAGCTTTGATGTGGTGGGGTCCACCGTTCCAACTAGAAATTTATGAAAAGTTCCAGATTTATGGGTGTCTTGGAGGAGAAGAAAAACAATTAATATAGTGGGGGCCAAATAATAATTTTTAAATTATAAGAGGCGTATTTGTAATTTTCATTAAAATTAAAATAAATAGAAAAGAGATAGTTTTCATGGATGTCATGTGAAATGACGAAAGGGGGCATGAGAGATACAGCCGCGGATCTGCAAGCTCATCCTCCATTTTCGATTGGGCTCAGGATATTCTGCTGCTACCGGCCAAAGATTTCACTCTGTTGCCGCTGATAGTATTTTGGATTAGGGTTTTCCGGGGATCTTCGCCGGCGACGAGAAATGGTTTGTTCTAAGTCCACGACTGGGGAGAGTGTCCCCTGTGATTTCTGTAACGAGCAGGTTGCGATTCTGTACTGCAGAGCCGACTCTGCGAAGCTTTGTTTGTTCTGTGATAAGCATGTTCACTCTGCGAACTTGCTCTCTCGGAAGCATGTTCGTTCTCAGATCTGTGATAACTGTAGGTCTGAGCCGGTTTCGATTCGCTGTTCGACGGATAATCTCGTGCTCTGTCAGGAGTGCGATTGGGACGCCCATGGGAGCTGTTCGGTCTCCGCTGCTCATGAACGGACTCCGATTGAAGGCTTCACTGGCTGCCCTTCGGCGCTTGAGCTTGTTTCGTTATGGGGCTTCGATCTTGGAGAAAAGAAGATGGAGGAATCCGAGATGTTGGTGCAAAATTGGGTGGGCTCGCAGGACTTGGTTATGCCGATTGATCATTGGGCGTGTAGAGCTAGTGCGACTGCTTTTAACGACCTCGTTGTTCCGAAAGATAACCCTTATCTCTTCGCGAATCTCAACTGTACAGATTCTGCGTCGATGTTGAAGAGGCAAAATCCGAGCTGTGGAAAGCATAAGCAAGTGTTATACAAGCAATTGGTTGAGCTGCTTAAGAGGGATTTCGAAGGCGGCGACGATGTTGTTGATGAAACTCGCGATGGCGATGCAGGTGGTGAAGAGGTTGGATTACAGAATCTGGTTCCTGAAACAACGAATGGGGTTTGTTATTGGCAAGAGGATTTGGAAGCTCGTCAAATTCATAAAGAGGATAATGGGGTTTTTGTTGATGCTGCTGCTCCTCCTCAGCCATTACTGCAGCAACAAACTTCCTTCACGTCTCTGCTAACGATGCCGCCTCATGTGGGTCTGAAATACAGCGAGCGCATTGGTGATGAAACTAATGTTTGTGATGGTAACCCAACTCGTCAAGGCATTCAAGTAATGTTTTCAATTACCTTTCCTTGTTTCTCTCTGTCGGTGACTTTATCGATTTTCAGCTTTTTCTGGCATGCCCATGCATCGTAGTTTGATAGCTATAATATAGCATTTTCTCCACAATTCTGAATATCGCTTTCCCCATTTCCGAGGAGCTCACTTCGTACGTCCAAGGACGCTGGTTTTAGCTTTTAAGAGTAGACTTCAGTCTTTTTCTGAGGATATGAATGGCCATTATATAGGAACCTGTGTTCTTTCTTTTAGACCCTCTGTTTGATTTCTGCTGTAATTTGAATTGCTTGAATAATTCTTCCATTTATTGCCAATGCTTGCTGTTTATCTGTTCTTAATCTGGGACGGTCCTTGTTTGAAGTTAATTTAACATTCTTAGTTCCTCTGTTTACTGTCAAATGAAGCTTTTTGATACATATGATGTCTTAACATTTCTTCTTTTCCTTCTTTCTGTTTGTACTTCTTCTAGATTTGGGACTTTAATTTAGGACGCTTAAGGGGACACAAAGATTCGAGTTCATTTGAAGAGGCCTATGGCACTGGCAACATGGGATTTACCATTAAGAATTTTGATGAGTTTTTGAAAGAAACATCCCCAACAAGCCCCAAGTTGCTAGGAGAAACCTATCAGATCAATTGCTCAGGCACACATGATGATATACCATCATTCAATGTAAGTCCTGCTCTGTTTTTCACTTTAAGTAGGTTCCTAGTTACTCATTATATCCTATTCTTGCGCATCTCTGTGAAGACTCATAAATATATTTGGGGAGTTTCAAACATATCAACTGATGAAATAAAATATGCTTATCAAGGCATGCCGAGTATGTGAGAATCATCTAAACTAAACCATTTGAAGCAAACTACATTTCCCATGATAGATTTAGGATCGTAACTGCTGTTCGGAGTTCGGATCGACTCGTCTGTTTTGTTTAGTAATCATTGTTGAAGTGATGCAGTGTCTATTCAGTTAAGGGTATCTGCTTGTTTTCATAGAAGGTTCTCCGAAAGGCTGATATCGGCATAGAGAATCGAACACCCAATTTCCTTGTGCTTCTTGTATAACCAATCCTCTGCTTTCCCTTATTGGGAATCAGCTGTTGAAGATAACATATTTACTGGAAATTGCAGGGTAATATCAACAACACAACGCTAAGTCAGGGGGCAGCAACATGCGAGAGCGGCAATCCGTCAAAGAGCAAGCTGAAATGTGGTTATAAAAATGCACAGCCAATCGAAAAACCCATTATTGTAAATGTCGACAGCATATTGTCGACATCGACAACCAAGGCCGACTTAGAGCTTCTTGCACAGAACAGAGGCAACGCAATGCAGCGTTACAAGGAGAAACGAAAAACTCGAAGGTGCATATTTCATTTTGTCTGGTACAGCTAGCTAACTGTAATTCTCTTCTCAATGTCAACTCCGGACCCTTACTGTAACTTGGAACAGGTACGATAAATACATTCGTTACGAGTCGAGGAAGGCGAGAGCGGATACAAGGAAGCGAGTGAAGGGTCGGTTTGTGAAGGCTAGTGAAGCCCCTGTTTTTTGATGATCAACTTCCATGGTTGAAAGTAGGTATTTACTTTGTTGATGTTGTAGTTCTGTGTGTATATATTTAATTTTGCCATTCCTTCCACTTAATATTTGTTCTAACGTTTTAGCAGGTGCAAATGCACGTGATAATTATCTTGTGTTTTTTAGAGATAGGTAGAGATTAATGTTATGCATTATATAAATGATGTCAATAACAGTTTCATGCGTAATTTTCTAATAATCAAATCCACGAAGTTTTTAATTATGTTTTTGAATTTTGAATTATGGTAATGTTGTATGAAAATTAGTGGTCATTTTAATCTGTATCGATGAAGATGTGACCAAAATACGATCTTCATACATGCATGACCATAGTCCATGGTCATGAATTACGTTTACAAGACTGTAAACGACATCTTAAATGAAATTTCAAGACAATTCGAGTATGAATAAATGCACAACTGATTAATTTGATGACTAACTTAGTATAGAGCATGTGTCGTTCATACTTCATTGGTCTGAGTTGGAGTTACTATTCCAATGCTCAAAAGTAACAGTGATCGAGTGGGAGTTGACCAGAATCTGCAGCTCAGAAGTAACATGACTTACTTGATTTGTCTGAGTCGGAGTTGCTATTCTAGTGCCGCACAGAATTCAATTCCACCTGTGTAGACAACGACATTTGATAAGAACATATTAATGGTCTTAATCTACTGCTTAAAAGTAATGTGACTTACCTGATTTGTTTGAGTCGGAGTTACTATTCTAGTGGCACTAGAATCTGCTAGTCAGGAGTTACTTAACTCCTCTGGTGGCACTAGAATTTGCTACTCAACCGGTTGTTAGCAGCTACATCTGGTAAGAATATACTATGCTAACCCCCAACACCTCAAATAATGTCGAGAGACGGTTTCGAATGGATCTAAAATGGAATCACAAAGATTAGATCAGGCAGTGGATTGGGTCGCGAGTCGGGTCGCTGGATCGAGTCGATGCTGGCCTAGAAGTTGGGGTGTTGGTGGGCGATTGGTGCATAGGCATGCTACTGGGCTGGACTGCATAGATCGTTAAGAGTAGTCTGAGCCATAAGTGGCTGGTGCAAGCCAGACAATTGAAGGTGGCGCAGGTTTGGAAGACTTGGTTGTGGAAGCTGAGGTTCAAAGCTTGGTTCGGTTCCCAAGGCTAACTCTGAACCTGCTCTCTCCCTTTTCTTTCTTTAAAATAAGGAGAGGAATGAATTAGTACACTAAAAATAGTATTTATTTTATAAGGGAATGGGTTTGGTGGCGGAGAGACTTAAATTTATTTTAATTTTATTTAAAAACAACTTTTACTTCTTCACCTTTATTTAAAAAATACTCTTAAATTTATTTTAATTTTTTTTATTAATAGCTTATTAAATAATAATAATAATAATAATAATAATACCTTATTATCAATATCATATTTTATAAAATTTCATAAAAAAAAATTTAGAATTAACTCGTTAAAACAAGAAGGCATGATGATACTATTAATGGTTATGGTCAAATATTTTTCTTCAAAGGGATCTCAAAATTTGATAAAATCATTTAAACTTATGATGGATTAAAATTAGAAACCATAAATTTAGAACCAATTCTAGAATATTGTTACATTTAAAAACCAATTTATTAGAATTAGAGTTCAAAATATGTTGCGATAATATATGTATCGAACCTAAAAGTATCTTATATTACATAATAATTTTGAAATATAGAGATGATATACTAATGTTCTCACCTCTTTATATCTTTGATTAAAACGTCGATGTTCAAATCCACGTCAGGATTCATATGACCTACAAAACGAACACAAAAAAGAACAAAAAGGGTAAGATTATTGGTAAACATGTTGTCGGAATATTTAGTATAAACAAAGAAAGGGCCATGCACGTATGTATATGCGTAAGGCTTTACAAATCCATGCACGAGAAACCACTCCAACAGGCGGCCGTTTCAGACGCACGCAGCGTGGCACTACAACCACCACCGGGCTACGGCGGAAGGCGGTGGTGGATCGAAGTGCCACGCCACCGTGCGTCTAAAACCAAGGAACGCCCTGAAATGCAGAGTACGGCGGTGGGCAGTGGGCAGTGGGCCGCTTTAAAGAAAACGAAAAGGGATGGTGAGTGTATATATAGAGGAAGGGCAGTGGCGGGGGATGCGGCGGAGGGTGACGATGAAGGGCGGTGGCTGCGTGTCTGGTTCATACAACTTTCTAATTCCGCCCATTATTCTCCCCTCGACGTGTGGATTATCCCTTTTTTTTCTGTTAAATACATACATTTTCATTATTATTATTGTTATTATTTTGCCTCTTGGCTGTGTTTCAAACGTATTTTCCTTTTATTTTTTCTATAAAAAAATGGCTAATTTTTGTTTTCTAGTTGCTTTTTCATATATTTTTAAAAAAATTAAAAGCAATTTTTCATAATTAATAAATAAATAAATGGGTATAAATCAGTATTTTATTTTTAATTTAAATTTTAAGAGGTAAAATACGTATATGGACATAAAAATATTATCGAATGGGTTCGAATATTCTTATTTGTTGTTTCACAAAAATAAAATGAAAATTTAAAAATAATTTACAAAATTGTATTTCGCAGTTATTTTATATATTTATTTAATTTATTTGTTCGAGAAAGACCTATTTTATATATGTATTTGGTCTAAATTTTTTTAAGCTCATAATAAATGAATTTTGACGTTAGATTACAAATATTTGTATTCTTATAAATTTAATTATAATATATTTGAGAATATTATATATATATATATATATACATATATTTATAAAAAAATATTAAAGTTTATTTTAATAATTATTAATTTTAAATATTGTAAAGAATTTAAAAAATGGAAAATGTATTTTAAGAAAATTTGAACAAGAAATTTTTGTTTGTAAGTTGCATTCAACCTGCCAAGGTGTTTGAGTACGTTAATAGGTTTGGAAAGAACGCCACGTGGAAGTTAAATTTAATGGACAAGTAGCTATCTCACGTGGCGACCGGAATTTGGGTCTTGGATAAGACGCCACGTGTAATGAACTCCACCTGGACACCCTTACAAAATGGAATATTATTATCTGTTTGGCTTTACCATTTTTTTTGTGTTTATTTCGAAAATAGTATAATTTATAAGCAAATTTTGATTTGGAAACCTATTCTATAAGAAAAGTATAATGTTTATATGTTTTCATTTTTTTCATATTAAAGGTTGGAAAATAAATAAATAGATCATTTTACTTTTATTGAAATTAAATATTTGAATAAATAATCCGAATATTCCGAACTAACCGTACTACAATCGACGCTTCCTTAAAATACATATTTATAATATGAGTATATTTTTCGAATGTCTCTACATTAGGACAAGTCATTTGGCTCGACCTTGCCTTTACTTTGGCTCTCAAGGTCTATCATGTGCAATGTCGCATCCAAAATCATCTTGGTTCCCAATCAACATGGTCCATATGTCACATGGTGTTGTTGACTATCGCGACTCACTCGGTTATGTCATTAAGAATGGGCCCACGTATCGTTCATAACATCGGGACATCTCGAACATCCATCAATTTGGGTTCTATCGAGACATTGACCCTCTCGTGCCTATGTCATTTCATTTACGGACATTGTACCAGATAACAGGTGCATAGTCCAACTTCCGACACTTGGGCTAGGGCGCAATACTGGCACACCCATGCTACCCAATACTGTCCTTGAAAGACCTATTTTGAAGGAAGTCACCTGAGACACTCGTCTTGTAATGCTTGCCCTCACTATGACATACGCATGTGCCACAAGGTCCAGGGGTGGTAGAGAGTTGACTCCATGTCATCCCCTTAAGGTACATTTTGTGACATTTCTAATCATTTTCGGGTAGACATCATTTTGGCAAATGGTCATACGGTATCGTGGAGCGTCCGTCCGGTATCTAACTGACACAAAATTTGGAAAGTATTTATATTTTATATGGACAGACTTGACTTCAAAGTTGCATGCTCAATTTCCCTTTGGAACACCGACTTTCAAGGTTAAAGCCCGTGGCTTTTCAACAAGCCCTATCTTTGACACTCATGTCTACTCGTGGCCCTCATCTTGCTTATAACTCGTCTTTTCTTCAATACCCACTATGTGTGGTGTGTGTTAGATGTTACACCGTCCTTCTTGGTCGTATCATGGCACTCATCTAACCCCTCACATGGTCGAATGGGCACCACTTGAGGACGCTGATTTTCTTGTCGCAACGTGAGGGTCACAACCTACTCTCTTCATAGTATGGTTGTGACATCGAGCGCAGGTTTAGAAAGACCATCGACCATCGACCATCGATCATTCCCTTTAAAATTTATCCATGAGTCATGCAATTTTTAAAAACATTACTATCCACATGGTTAAAAAAAAACATTAATTTAGTTCCAATATTATAATGGCTTATTCATCACCTTCCTTGTATATTTCTTACAAATACCTATTTTTGCACCCAAATCTAGTGTTCTAACTAAAAAAAATCTAATGCATTAAACTATGTCAGCTCATAGCTAATAATGAAGATCAGGAGTTGAACTTGCCAAGAAGAGGATTGGGTGGGCCAGGATCGTCGCCGCCACACTGCGCCTCGAAGTGTGGGAACTGCACGCCCTGCACTACGGTTCTTGTGTCGGAGCCACCGGGACCTCCAGGCGTCGGTGATGATTTCCCGGAAGTCTGGAGATGCAATTGTGGGAACAAGCTCTACATGCCCTGATTGGAAAAGGCATGCCCCCACGCATGTATGCTCTTATATGTTACTTATTCGCCGATGAGCCGAAGTAGACGGAGTGGGTCTTTTCAACCTAACCCCAAATTTAACGAGTTTGTTAAGTTAGTAACTCCATGAAACCAAATAGAATTTACAACCCAACTCTATGTTTTTTAGTTAAGTTGTTTTTTTAGTTGAGTTGAGCTCACACCCAACCAAGGAAATGTTCTAAAATATCAGTGATTCAAAAAGAATATACCAATGGTTGAGTCAACAAATAGAGATATTTTATGGATCTCAAGATCAAAATATGATCAAGACATTATCTACTCTAAGAATGAAAACTCGAACTTAATACGAACATCTCGATTAGGGTTTTCATCTAGCTCACTCGATCGTCGAACAACAGCAAAGCAACCCAATTCTAGAACCAAAGAAATGCAAAACCT